ATTTTAAAAATAAAAGGGCCCCCTTCTTTCCGGTAATAAAGCACCAGAAATCCGTCGTCTATTCAAGGTTAAGCTTGAGGACATCGCACCCATCGCTATTACTTATTTCAACTAATACAAAATTCGCGGTAATAGGCGCACGATTTTACATAGAGATGTCATTGGCGTCGTAACAACAAAAGAGCAGCTGGAGAGGGAGTGAGAACTAACAACCGATGTTGAATGTCAATTCCAGTTAATAGGTGACTCGCTCGGGGCTTGGAAAGGTTTTCAAACACCCTTTGTGGAACCTATAGGTTAGATATTATAGAAGAACGAACAATTGGAATTGGACGGCGTTATGCAGAAAGGAACCAACCCACAATATACTAGACATTGGGTTGGGGGGGGCTTTGGGTAATGAACCTACTAAGCTTTAGTTAATTAATTTAATACTCTATAAAACTATAAAACACTAACCCACAACCTACAGCTTTCTTAAACGAACGAAAACTTTAGAGTTGATTATTTTTTATACCATGGAGTTGATTATCTCAGTTTGTCACTATTGAGGGTTGGTACCTTCCTGTTTAATGCCATCCAATTTACAGTCAGATTTACAATCAGTGATAAACTTTTATGATTAGGTTAACTTTACCAGGACTTTAGTTAGAAGGATCCGTCTTGCAATCATTATTTTAGGCTTGCTGACCATCCTCTATTCCACCTACGACGAGGTTACCCTTTAGAGAGAATTGGTAGAAATACATAGGGGAATTATTACCCAATACGGTGCTCATAAGAAATACGGTATCCCCCAGATGATACTTAGTTACCACAGGTGAGGAATTAGAAGCAAGGAAAGGTCATCTATGGGAAGATCCACGGCAATTCCCATTAATGAAGAAGCTAAACTCGCCGAATGTTTAATCACAATGGAAAAATGGTGGTGACACGACGTGACATTTGTAATACTTTTGAACAGTATGTCACTAGAAATAACCTTAAAACACCATTTAAAAACTCAAATGGGCGACCGGAGAAGATTGGTTTTTGGAGTTTTCGAAGAGACATAATTTGTCAATAAAAAAAATCACAATCGGTGGAATACGCAAGAAAAATGTGTTTGGATCCTTTTATTATAAATAACTATTTTGACCTATTGAAGAAACAGACAAATTTAGCTTACACGATAAACCTCGTCAAATTAGGAATCTAGATGAAACCAGCTTTTCTCTGGATCCATCAAAGACTAAGGTGGTGGAAAAACGAGGAGCACCTTCATCGCGAACAACTGCTGGATCTGGAAGGGCAAATACCACTGTACTGATGGCTGTTAGCGCTGATGGATTTAAAGCTTCCCCATTGATCGAGTTTAAAGCAAAAAAACATGTGAGATGACTGGATTGCTCCTTCTACAGACGAATACCCAGGAACTTCATATGCCGCGACTGCTAATGGATGGATGGAATCCCAACTGTTCTTAAATTACTTCGAAAAAATTTTATTAGAAGTAGTTGGACCTGATCGGCCCCCTCTTACTTATATATGACGATCACGTGTCTCACGTCGATGACAGACTAATAAAAGTTGTCCGCGGTAATAGAGTAACAATGCTTAAGATTCCACCCCATTTATTTCATTTTACAGCCCCTAGATTTAAGCGTTTTTAAGTCGTTAAAAGTAAAGTGGGATCAAACACTTGTCCAATGGCAGAGACATTATCTGGGAAGAAAGTTACCCAAAAAGAAGTTTAATTCATTAATAGGACAAATTTTGAAAGAAACAGAACCTGAGATAATTTGCAGCGGTTTTAGAAAAGGTGGCATTTACCCTTTTAAGTGAAGTGGGATCAAACACTTGTCCAATGGCAGAGACATAATGAGGGAAGAAAGTTACCCAAAAAGAAGTTTAATACATTAATAGGACAAATTTGGAAAGAAACAGAACCTGAGATAATTTGCAACGGTTTTAGAAAAGGGTGGCATTTACCCTTTTAACTCTAAGGTAGTTACCAAAGAAAAATATGATCCTGCACCGTATAAGAGATAGACCAACAACGTAATCAAGTATTAAATAACAATCAAAGTCACTCGTTACATCCAGGTATCTGGGAGAAACGTAGAAAAATCTGTAGACTTCCAAGAATTACTGTTGGCTACAGTTAATCAATCAAATCCTACTGAAAAGGTAAAAAAACGAATAGTGGCTAAAGGTGCGAAGGTCATAACAAATGATAAAGTTTAAAATCTCATGGAAGAAAGCAAAACTCAAAACTTTGAAGAAGAGAAAAATGGAGAAAACTCAAATGAAAATATTATATTTAATGACAGTGATAACGATATAGAGGAAGAGATTAGAGAGATGGAAAAACTTGATGCATGCATGACGGAAATGGAAAAACCTTTGACAGATATAGATAAAGGTGACTGGGTGTTAGTGGCTTTATTAGGAAAAAAATTAAAAAAGTACTATATTGGTCAAGTTATTAAGGCAAAGAAAGATGAAGAAGAATTGGAAATGAAATTTACCAAAAAAGTACCTTTCTTAGATCCCTTATCCTCTTCAACTTTTGCGTGAAAATTTCTAGATGAATGTGCTATTATTGCTAAACCGACCTTTACTAAACGTGGTCTATTACGGTTTGAACTAAATTTTTCAGCTTACAACATACAATAAAATTATAATATCATCTAAAATTAATGATTAAAATGTATTTTTTCTATTTTTGCATACTTAAATTTGATTTTTAGTTTAATTTAGCGATTGGAACTTTTAGGTTTCATTATTATTTTTAAATAAAAAGTTTGTAACTCATAGATCGATTTTCCTTTTTTATAAATGTTTATAGCATATTAAACATCGTTCTTTTGAGACTTACACACATGCCTCTGACCTCTTTAAATGCATAAATAAGCAAAATATACACTAAGTACACACTTGCCCCCAAATCAAAATTTATAAATATATTAAAAGCCCTTTAAATGAAATTGTCAGTTTGTTGATATCTGAATAATGTATCTGTCGGACCGATCAGCATATAACCAAAATTTCCATAGGCGTGCCCATGGGAAAACAAGAGATTCATAAAATTTTATAATTGTAAAAATAATAATAAAAAAAGTATAAGGTTAAAAACTATAAACTGTGTAAAAAATAACAGAAAAATATGTATAGTTGATTTGAACATTAAGAGATAGTAAATTCCTAAAAATATTTAGAGATAATCAGCATCAAAAGTATTTTTTATCTAATAATTGTGCTTATTTTTATCACAAAATATTTCTAGGAATTTATTCTTTCTAAAGGTTCAAATCAATTACAGTTTTTTTTTTATTTTTATACAAATCTTAACTTGATTTTCAACGTTATGTTATTAATATAAAAAGTAAGAACGGATTTTCAAATCTTTAAATATACAACCTTTAGATCATGGTAACTCTTAAAATAATGCAAAAAAAATATTTTTCAGTTTTAAAGATATCGTTTCTAAAATATAAAAACTAAAACACCAAATGCAAAAATATTTTTTGTCTAGACATTTTAATAATTATTGAAAAATTTTAATAAATATTCAATAACTATTAATAATTATTTTTTTTTATCAACAACGAAGATATGACATACTGTAACGTTTCAGACCTACCTACATATTATTATCTATATATACATACATATATTTATGTGGGCGAAAGATGTCTGGGTTTTAAAATTTAAAAACCATCTAATAAAACGATTCTTCTAGTTTTATTTAAACATTGCATAATGTGCAACATTTTATTGTTTATTTTTATAGTTTTTATACAAGCTAGACACTTTTATATCTGTTGAAATTCATGCTAAATATAGATGTACAACCGGCAGCTAATTTTCTAACAACTTTTTTCTAAGGACTTATTTTTGGGAACAGTAATTTAAAAATGAGTAGTACTTTCTCTTTATTTTTTGCTCTAATTTTATTTCAAATAATGATAACAAGTGTTTAACAATACAAACATAGAATTTGGAAGTTAAATGAACTATTTTAAATTTATTTCGAGCAGCATCACCGTTCTAAATCTCTTATTTATCTATCCATTTAAATTTTAAATGTCCTATGACGAAACCCAGAGTTCACTGGGTGTAGTGTTACTGTCTTTCCACTATTGATATAGCAATCGAATAATTTTATCTGTATAATAACGTTTATCAACAGAGTTGATAAAAGTCAACCGACACGTTTTAGAAAATTATTTAATAATCTAAAATAAGGTGATTCGTTTTTTTTAAAGTTTCGAGAAATAATTAAAAGCTATTTAAAGGTACTTTTAATGTATGAAACTTGAATCAAAATAGTGTGGGTTATTTAAATTTGGCAGGGTCAATATACGACTAAACAGCTGACTATAGGCATGTGGAATGTTTTCGGTCTTCGATAACCACGTAGCAATTAAAAGAATGGGGCGCAATCGAGGGGTTTAGGCCGTAACTTAAAAAGGAAATTTAAATATAATTTTTTGTGTGTTTTGGTTTAAAACAGTATATATAATTTAGATAAGTATGTTTATATGAACATTTATAGTAAGAAAATGTCTATAAAATTAACCTTTATATATTTATACATAGTAACCAAAAGAATGAATTGTAATAATTTGTAGAATTATACCTACATTTATATGTATATAAGTAAAAATAAGAAAAAAAAAATGTAAAAACATGCATTCATGTAAAGACATATTCTTTAACCTGATTTCGATAATACAAGGCTAAAATAGCAATTTTTTAAACGATGTGTACCTATAAATTTATATGTAAATTAGATTAAAAAGTTGAAGAATAAAATTATAATCTCAAGATCAAAAATATAAGCCAACACTGACTTTCTGTAAACTGAGAATATAAAGTTTATTTTGTCGAACTTTTTAGACCCTTTTAAATATTTCAGCGAATAAAATAAATATTCATACCTTAAGTTCTGAAAACAGAAGAAGAAGTAAACTTTTTTAACGTGGATGACCGGTAAAATCAAAAATCAACCTTACCTCCATCATCCACTCAGCCACAATCTTCCGCATCTCGGCAGTAACTTCCTTTTGTACTACCAACGAGGCAGGATACGGCAGGACGTACCTATCCTCGGTTTTAAGTAAGTTCTTGAGTACTCTGTCCTGCAACAGTGTCGGGTCATCGTAAGCTTTAGTTTCGTTTTCTGCTGTTTCGCAACAGTATAAGTCCATGATCCCCAAAAAATACGAATCCTTCTTTGCAAATCACACGCACTCGATAACACTTAACGACTTAACCTCGAAAAAAAAAAATATATATATCACAAGTCTACTGTTTCATCTGTTTATGCTAAGTTCCTTTTAAATTTGAATTAAAGCGCTGCTGAGTGTCAGTATCAGTCAGCTGTTCAGTTGTTGTTCGTTCGAAGGTGGAGTTGGCAATACAAGGTTTGCCGTCATTCAGGATAAGGACTTGTGGATGAGCTTCCCCTTCCATTCGAAAGCGCTTATGAACGAGCTTTTAACCTGTTCTCTTAGGAGTTTTCTCGTGGTGTTGCCGATACCGCTATTTGTAATAGTTTAAAGGTATTTTGAAGATGTGGCTTTTAAATTTTTAAACGATTTTATATTGTTGAATTTGCTGGATATGTTTTATATTTTTATACGACATCAGTAGCGTAATGAGAACTATTTTTATAGGAAAGTAACTTTAATAAATCTAACACTTGTATAGGGGGTATTGTATTGTCTAGTCTCTTTGTAATAATTTATATTTATAAATAAAACACTTTTGTTTCCTTTAGTACCGCACGCTTGTTCATGACATGTATGACTGACTTTCTCTACCCCGTGAGTTAACTGTTACGTCAGGGGCAAGCGTACCTACATTTATTTATCTACTTAAGATGATTCACATACACCACAGGTATAAAAAAGTTTTAGCTTTTTCCAAATTTTTAAACTATTAATTAATATTTTAGTCATTGTAATATTTGTTTTGTTTTAAATATGTTGAAAACCATTTATAAACATTATTAATTATAGTCAACTGACTTTTCTTCATATTTTGAGATTATTTTTAAATATATATCAGGTTGTGTACAAAGCTTGACATTGATTTTTGTGTATAGCATTCTAAATTATACTTTACATAGTTTTACAAACCCCTTTAACCCCCATTTTCAATCAGATTTTTTTCATCCCCTTATTAAGCTTGATTTTCCAAAAACTTCAAGTTGATATCATTGTTCGTTTTTGAATTAGATTTTTTTTTAATATTTCAACCTCACTTAACCCCCCTCATATTTTTTTAATTTTAACCCCCCTTAAATCTCCATTTTTAATCAGATTTTTCTTCAAATTCAATAGGCTTCGTCTCCTTATAGAGCTTGTTTTTTGCTTAAAATTTTTAAGTTGATACCATTTTTCGTTTTTGACTTATTGTGTAGACAAAAAACGTGACATCAGATAAAGTAAACCTATAATACTCTTCACAGTATGAAGAGTATAATAATAATATAATCATAGCTAAAACAATATCATTATAGATTAAAAAATAGGTACAAAAAAAAATGATAAAGTCAAAGCACATAGCTAATAACATAAATAAAGCATAAATAAAAATGGAAAGCAGATTACCAGAAAGTAAGTGTAACTAAGTTAGAAATATAGAGAAAAAAGCAAAATATTAGGGACAGAAAGAAACTAATATAGAAAATAAAAAAAGTAAACAAAAAATAGCTCAAGAAGATGTAGCAATAGCAACATCAAACAATATTAAACATATAAGAAATTATTTTAAAACTAAACGAAACAAAACTACAATAACAAAATAAGGATTAATAGATAAATGGTCATGTAGCAAAAATACCAAAACGGAGAAGAAAGGCCCTTTGTGAAAGAAGTTCTGTCGTGCACAAGAGAATTAACTTTTTAAGAAAATATTCTAAATTTAAAGAAGAAGGGGCGAATTTAATATATTTAGACGAAACATGGATATTTTCTAGGGGTGCAATCAAGAGAATATGGCAAGATGATAACGTAAAGTCCAACAAACATATCCATGGAGAAGGGAAGTGACACATAATTTTACATGCAGGAGAGAAATCGGGTTTTATAGAAGGTGCTGATTTAATATTTTCATCTAAATCAAAATCCAGTGACGATCACGATAATATGAACACAGAAATGTTTGTAAAATGGTTGCATGAAAAACTTCTCCCAGGTTTAAGTGAGCCCAGCGTAATTATTTTAGATAATGCACCTTACCATTCTGAAGTATTAAACAAAAGTCCAACTAATTTTTGGACTGTTGATAAAATTAAAGAATAGTTGTCAAAGGAACATATACCACTTCCTCAATATATATTAAAATTAGAATTATTACGCTTGGCAAATATACACGCAAAACCAAAAACCTTTGTTGTGGATCAGATTATTGAAAGTTATGGTCATCAAGTTTTACGTCTGCCACCGTATGATTGCCAGTTTAATCCCATCGAATATATATGCGAATAGCAAAACAATATTATGACAACCATATCCAAGTGCGAGAAACTAATAGAAGATTGGTGGACTGGTGAAAATAAAATAAACGAAATTAGTCCAATCATAATAACAATTAATGGTGATGACAGTGATGATAATGACGATTATGATATTTTGGATAATAATGACTGATTTTCATTTTTGTTGGCAAGTTCAATTTTTTCATTTGAAATTCTCTACATGGAACAAATTTTTATGTTAGAAAATATTTTATTTGAGCTAAATAATCCTCTTATTATATATAGACCATATTTTCTGTGTGAAGTGTAATATAAAATTATTATTACGTTTATAATAGCCATATTAGACTCCATTAATAAAGAAGTTTAATTCTGCTCTCAATTATACAAAAGATTCTCCATTATTATTTAATTAAAAAGTTGTACATTATTTTTCATTTCATTTAACCAGTTGATATTTCCCCAAAGAACAGGTCAAACTTTCGGGTACTTACCTGAAAATACTCATAAAATTTTTAATCCGAAACCCGCGTAAGCATAGCGAACAGACTGTAGTTGATCTCTTGTATACAAATAATACTTAAAAATCTTCTTTGAGAAATTTAGAAATAATTTAGGTTTTAGCAATATCCCATTCTAAAAATTATCATCTACAATTTATATTCTATTTTAGTATACTATCACCTTTAATTTGGTTTGCAGGTTGAATATGATCCTAAATGGTACATTGAAAGTTTTTTTTTTAATTTATTGATAGAAATATGTAATCGTACCAATATTTGTTCCATCAATTTTGAGCAATATAAAATATTACCATGTCGTCTGCAAAGCTAATTATTTGGTTATCCTCTTCTATCTAAAAAAAATCTCGACAGTCAATGTCGCGATGGTCTAAAGGTAAGGGCATTTGTGTACATAACAAAAATGTCTGAATTCGAATCCCAACACTGACTGTATGTGCTTTCACCTTTGGGGTTAGGGGATGGTTTTAACAAATTGTTTATGTAGATTATAAACAACATTGACTCCAGTACTGTTCCCTGAGGGACACTACACATGATAGTTTGTTCACTACTTAGATTCTGTTTGATTTTTAAGTGATATTTGTTATTATTAATGATTGCGTAATCCATTTTGATCTTTTCCTCATTTTATTTTTGCTATTTTGAACATTGGTTGTTAAAATGTTAATAAATTTAATTCCAGTTGACTGATTTTATAATGTTGACCAGTTGTTTTGAATCTAATAATTGTGGAAAAATATTTGTATTACTATTAGCAGACTGATTTTTAGTTTCTGGTAAAATTATTCGGGATAGTGTAAGAAAGTGATCAATTAGTTATGTCTGTTTCTACAATAAGTGGAACAATTGTATCAAATTGATTATTTTTTTATTTAATGAAGATATGGTTACATTTTCTTTTGTACTCTTGCAGGTATATTTATTGCTAAAATAGAACTATTAAAAAATATTGATATGAAAAATTAAAAATGATATGTCTTGCAATGAATTGCAGGGTGTAATATAAACAGCAATTTATCTTGCCCTGTAAAGTGGCTATTAGAGCATAAATTCCCTGCATAATATTTAAAAAAATGAAGTTAATCTTAATACAGCCCCCCCAAAAAGCATGAAAATATAATGCTTAAAAAAATTGGGTACGGCCTCGAAACGGCTCGGCTTGTAATTTCTCACAGTGGTTATATACATCATCGTAATCATCAGCGTTCAACATCTCGCAGAGGGAGCCGCTTCGAAACTTCCATTCATTCAAATTCCACACTAATATCAGCTGATGCGTCTTGGCAACTCAACTCTTCATTCTCAGCCCCCAGCCGATATATGTGGTTGTGGTATGCGTGAAATTCCTCAGTACGGTTTGGCAACGTTGCCGGCACCGTCGCTCTTGTTGCCAGACGTTTTTCGAAAAGGACCCGCGAATGGGTTACAAGATTATCGAGATCTGATAAATTTAGTAATAATTATTGTGTGGAAATTAAATAAGCGTGGAATTAATTGAGACGGTGCTTACGTCAAATGGATAGTTAATTTTTGAATTAAAAAAAATTATATTATCTTAGCTATCCAGTTTTGATATATGTTGATCGAGGATATAATCATCCATAATTCCCGATGTCCTTCAACTTTTAATGTCATTATTACCTGTCCCCACGTGATTTCATCCCTGAAACTCTGAGATCTGTCTTAATCAATAAACTATTGATTGTAGTTTGCTTTTTAGAGAAAACTCATCTTTAAGTTGTTGCCTACGGCGTCGTACTCAAACTTCGTCTTCGTAAGATATGATATGGCCATCATATCCACTCTTGTTGCACAAACTACTAATTCAATTTATAAAAGTCTGTGGCAAAAAAAACTACGTTTAGATGCCACTTCTCAATAAAGAAAACAATGTTCTTAAACTATTTATGATAATATTGTTATTGATTTATTCTCTTAGATAATATAACGTCTATAATTTATTCGTATAGTTACAATGTAAATCGGTCTGACAGAATTTGTGTTTTTCTCATTTATGATCATCTAGAAGGTGAGAGAGGAAATTACCACAACAAAACAGTACAACGATCAGTGTCGTACCGAATGACAAGAATCATATTGTTAATTAAGGCTAAATGAAAGAGGATGTACAGTCTGTTTTTGCTATACTTACGCGGGTTTCGGATTAAAAATTTTATGAGTATTTCCAGGTAAGTACCCG